AGTTTATTTTTAACATTGTATATGTTTTGGGAAATTGTAAATTTCATTCTTTTAATGGGACTTGTGTATCAAGTCGATGAGGACAGATGACCGGAGAATGGGTCATGGTGACGAACTTGCGAGAATAATATTGTTGCGAATGGTTTGATATTGGTATTGAACTTGATTTGTAATTTCGGGGACAAAATTCTTTAAGAGGGGGGAGGTTATAGCTATTCTAAGTTTTGACCCGTTATCTATTGTATTCCGAACTTGGGTTTAATGCTTTCATATTGTTGTTTACCTCTTGTTCCCCTTGTATTCCTTTAGAATTGGCTTTCGGGTTGTGGTTGTGCGTTTGGAACAGGTTGGTTGCTTGTTTTTCAAAACCTTTATTGCCCAGATTTTGGCTCTTGCGCTCGAGCGGACATTCTTGCGCTCGATTGGGGTTCACAAAATTTGCTTCCTCGCTCGAGTGACCATTCTCACGCTCGAGTAGGATTCATCAACTTTCAGTATTTCTTTTGCAGTTCTAAAAGTACTGGGAAAGTGCTTTGGACGCTTGAGCGTCCAATCCCATGCTCGAGCGCAAACTTTTGTCTGCAAAACTTCTGGAAATGTGTATTTTACGCTTGAGCGGCAACTTTCACGCTCGAGCAGAACCTTGTGTTTGACGCTCAAGTGGGGCTTTCTACACTCGAGCAGACTGCGTGTATTTCAGTCTAAGAATATGACATTTTGAATCACTTTTTCATATCTCTCTCTCTCTCTCTAAAACTTTCCAAAAAGTTTGTTTTTGAGCCTCTCTCTCTAGAATTAACCTTCTCTCTTAGATTTCATCTAGATCCATTGATCTTTTCACCCTAGTGCCTTTGAGAAAAAGGTAGAGCTCATCAAGATCTACATTTTGATCCGAATAAAAATGAGTTTCGGTGTTCTCTAAATTTCTCTCTTGTTTGACTCATCTTCTTTCCTTGAGGTAGGGATCTTTCTACACCTTCATATGATATTTAGCTTAGTTATTTTTCATTTGTGTAACAATGGTGTGATTTGGGGATGTTTTAAACAAACCTAGGGTTTGGGCATAAAATGAAAAGAGGGGCTTTGGGTGTAGATGAAATAGGTACTTGTGGGGTTTAGAAATAATGTTGTGTTATGTCTAATTTGATGATTTTGGCACTTGGCTAATAATTAGGAAAATGGGGGAATTTGCCCTAATTTGATCAAACTATTATTTTGTACAAATAATTGGAATTAGCATTGAAAATATGAAATTGAGAGGGTATTGATAAGAATAGTAGGATCGGTTATGTATTAACTCATTCTTTTAGATGTTTTGAATAAATTATCTGTTTGAAGTTTAATATCTGTCTAGAGATAATTGTATTGGGCTATCGGTGGAGGATAGCTTTGATTGTTGTAGAAATTGCATCCGGATTAGATGAATTGAAACTAATTTTTTGATGGTTGTCATTGAATATGACCATGTTTACTTACATTGTATATGTATGTTTGTTTGGAAGTGGAAAAGGGATGTGCTTCATGTGTGATTATTTGTCTAAATACATTGTATATGTATGGATATTTGTTTAGGAGGAGAAAGGGGATGGACTCCATTATAATTAAATTGGCAGGAGTGTCCTGGGTGAAAGTCCTGAAATTATACATGGGTGTCTAGCCCGCAGATGAAATATCTGTAAAATAGCAATTGTAGTGCTCGTATGATGGCAACCCGCAGACGAAATTTCGGTGAAACAGAAGTTTGACATGTGTATGTACATGTGTTGGATGATTTGAAAACTATTGAGTTATAGCCTCAATTCGGTTGTTGAGAAATAATGGAAATTCACTTATGAATGAAAATAGATAAGTGAACGAAATATGAATTGAAAGGAAATGGATTAAGACTTGAAATTGATATCTCATGAATATATATAGTTGTGAAACGTTTCATCGCATGCATTGTTTATACACTTGTACTTATACCTTTACTAAATTTCATATGTTGTTAGATGATTTCTACTGGGCTGTGGCTCCCCCTATTTGGGAATAACATTTTCAGGTAATGATGGTATGCCTTCACCAAGGCAATAGCCTTGGAAGGACCTTTGAGTAGCAAGAGCTTCATGTTTTGTTTATTTTGTATAGCCTAGGGCATAAGATGTAATGAGCAAAGCTCACTCTTGTTATAACCAAGTTAAGGCTTGGAAAGGTGTAAGCTAATAGGGCATTTATTTCTGTTAAACTCTTTTGTACCACCAATATGTATGTAATGAAAGGACTATTTATTTTGATTGATGCACCTATTTATGTATGGTTGGGTTGAATTTACTATATTATTTTGGAGGCGTGACACCAAGAAGAAGGTATACCCAACAATTCTCCCCCTATTGACTTAGGTGGAGACATCAACCATACCTGCCAAAGATCGATACTTTAAATGTTTGTCCCTCGGCAGAGTCTTAGTCAACATATTCGAAATATTATCATCTGTGTGAACCTTTTCGAGTTACGGGCCAATAACCATGTCTATAATGGAAAGTCCAAGCATATAGGACTGAGACATAGCTGTGTTAAGCAGTTAATTATAGAAGGTGTGATTACCATTAGTTATGTAAAGTTAAGTGAAAACTTGACTGACCCCTTAACAAAGGGATTTCAAGGGATTTGGTGTGAAAAATATTAAAGGGGGATGGGTCTTAAGCCCACTTAACATAATCACTCCTGGTGGAAACTCAACTCAACGCTTGAAGAAACATCAAGTCTTGAGTTCAATGAGCACAAGTACACCATATGTCATGATTGCAAGCACTTAGTTTTATTTTATTTTCATCCCAAGGTTGAAGTGCTTGGTACTTGTAATGTGAAAAGAAGAGGATAAGTTAGTAAACTCTTAATAACCTTACAACTGAGTTGTTAGTGAACTGTAAATTACAGGGGTACTCTTAGCAAGCTTACCTATGTGACTATAAGAGGTGGTGCCGCTTCTTATGAGTCCAAGGACTTAACTCTTGAGCGCTCATGAAACAGGATATAGACACAAGGCTAATCCACGTGGTGGTTTGTTTGAATACTTGAGGTAACTTGTACTGTGCATGAGACATGTCCGGTTAGTTGTATAAGATCACTAGTTCAAAGACAAGTCTACTATGCCATCTTGACTAACTTTGAGATGTCTTCACTAAGTGAATGATTCAAATCATAAGATATCTTCACCTATGCATAAGGCTGCCAAGTGAACCAAGAATCATTATCTGATATTTTGAAAATGGTGGGGGATTGTTGGGGAATTTTCAAAATGGATTTTCAAATTTATAGTTTATTTTTGGGTGTTTTCAAAACCTTCCATGTTTTTCTTTGGAAAGCATGAAATAAGCTTGGGGCTTTGTCCTATATCGGAAAGAGAGGAAAACATGGAGCACTTAATAAAGTGCTACATAGAATATTCCTTTGAATATGGTATTATGGGATGAATGCTAGTGTACATGCACTCACATTGCAAAGCACCATCCACACACGCACATGCATACACGCGTGGCGCGGGTAATGGGTTGTGTGCCGTTTGATGGTGCACTTTACACTTAGCATGGACTGGTTGGAGCGATGACGTGGATCCAACGTGGCATCGGTGACGTGGCGTCCGTTGGCAGTGAGTCAACCAACCGATCGAACAGTTATATGTCCGTTCTGGAGTGATTAGATCATAACCGTTGATTGGAGATGTGTGCGATCGTACAGATGAGATGGCACCCGATCATGATTAGGTGTGATTAGTCAAGGCATCTATATGGTGTGAGAATGATCTGCACCGTAGATCGTCGATCCAACAGTCAAATCTGATCAGATGCGATCAAGGGGCATGACCATTCGATCAGATCCTTCAAGGCCTATAAATAGGTTGCGAAATCATTCATTTCATTCAATTCAAAAAATTCAAAAGTCCTGCAATTCTCTCTCTCTCTCTCTCTTCTTCTTGATTTTGAGTTTTCAATTTTAAGCAAATTTCTACTTTTCTTACTGGTAATCTAGTTCTGCAGAATTGATTATCAGTGTCTTGGTTTTCTTGTTTATATCAAGAGTATTCTGATCTATTGTCATCAGTGTAGACGCTCGTAGACTTGATCTTTAGATCAGGCTTCATTGTATCTTAGAGGCGAATTTGCAATAACCCCCTGCACACCTTTTGGTGGGTGCAAATATTGTCTTTACGAAAGCGACTAAGTAACGCGACTTGGAGCATTATATTTTTGTTCTACATAGACAAGTTCATCGCCAAGTTTTGAAGACTTGAAGACCGCCAACTGAAGAATTCAAGACGAATTGTTCCAACACTGTCATGGTCAAAATATTCTTCATGTTGCTGCCAAGAGCAGAGGACATAACATGGTCAATTACATTCTCCAAACTCCTAAACTCAAGAAGCTTTATATACATGAGGGATAAGCATGGAAAGACACCCTTGTATTTGGCCACCATGGATTGGCATCCAAAGATTGTTAGTACCCTAACATGGGATGAAAGAGTGGACTTATAGTGAATAATAAGGGTATGTCTGCTCTTGATTCTGCTGAATACTACATGGAAAGAATGCCCTCATTTTGAAAGGTAAGCACTCAGCTAATTAAATAACCCTACACTTCAGATACCTAATCAAACATAACAAAATGAGGGTATGTCTGCTCTTGATTCTTCATGTTATTTATTTATTTTTATTTGCATCAACTCCACTTACATTAATATGTCTAATAACATTTTGAGTGGGTTGATTCTACAATGTTTGGGAAACTTCAACAATAGACTATCAGTGCTGAATTTAGGGATCAACAGCTTTCATGGCATGTTTACTGCAACATTTACCAAAGGCAACATGCTAAGGAATCTTAACTTGAATGGTAACCAAATTGAAGGACAAGTTTCGCGATCTTTGTTCAATTGTAGATACTTGGAAGTTCTAGATCTTGGAAAAAAACAAGATAAATGATACATTTCTCCATTGCTTGGGAACTCTTCGAAACTTGCAGGTGCTTGTCTTGAAATTTAATAGGTTTCATGGTCATATAGGCACCTTCAAGACCAAGGGCAAACAACCTTACCCTAAGTTGAGAATTATTGACATGTCTTACAATGATTTCACTAGGCTTTTGCCAAATAATTATATCAAACAAATTGAAGCTATGATGAATGTGGATGAACATGAAATGAAAATGAAATACATGGGTGAGACTTATTACCAAGATTCAGTGGTGGTGGTGATGAAAGGACTGGAGATTGACTATTCAAGAATCTTAGCAGTCTTCTCAATCATTGATTTATCAAACAACAAATTCCAAGGAGAGATTTTGAAATCCATTGAGAAACTTAATTCACTTCGAGGTCCTAATTTATCTCATAACAACCTTCCACATCATATCCCAACTTCACTTGGAAATTTAACAAACCTCTAGATCTTGGAAAAAACAAGATAAATGATACATTTTCCCACTGGTTGGGAACTCTTCGAAACTTGCAGGTGCTTGTCTTGAGATTTAATAGGTTTTATGGTCACATAGGCACGTTCAAGACCAAGGGCAAACAACCTTTCCCTAAGTTGTGAATTATCGACATGTCTTACAATGATTTCACTGGGCTTTTGCCAAGAAATTATATCAAACAATTTGAAGCTATGATGAATATGGATGAACATGAAATGAAACTGAAATACATGGGTGAGACTTATTACCAAGATTCTGTGGTGATGGTGATGAAAGGATTGGAGATTGACTATTCAAGAATCTTAACAGTCTTCTCAATCATTGATTTATCAAGAAACAAATTCCAATGAGAGATTCCAAAATCCATTGAGAAGCTTAATTCGCTACGAGGTCTTAAATTATCTCATAACAACCTTATAGGCCATATCCCAACTTCACTTGGAAATTTAACAAACCTTGAATCATTGGAGCTTTCCTCAAACGAGCTTGTTGGGAAGATTCTGCAGCAGCTGACAAGTCTAATGTTTTTTTGAGGTACTAAATCTTTCAGACAACCAACTAGTGGGACGAATTCCTCGAGGGAGCCAATTTAATTCATTTGGGAACGACTCATACAATGGGAACTTGGCCTTATGTGGATTCCCTTTATCAAAGATATGTGAGGAACAACAGCCATTGCCACCTTCACCAACACTCCAACATGATGAAAATTCAGATTGGGAGGGCGGATTTAACCAGAAAATTGTTGTGATGGGGTATGGATGCGGCTTTGTATTTGGAATGGTTATGGGATATCTTATGTTTGTAACTCGAAGTCCAGAATGCTTGATGAAAATTGTTGAAGGAAAACAATATAAGAAGGTGAAAAGGTCCAAGAAGACGCCCATTGATGCAGTAAATGAAGAAATCAGCAAAAACAAATGGCGTCATTTAGGTAAGTAGAATTTATCTTTGAAGCATTACTTTGTTGAATTATCTTTTATGGTTTCTATGTATACGCTATTCTTGAGTTGCTAATGCTTTTATTTCAAAACTAGATCTATTCCATTAAGTAGCACAATACAACAATGGTGTTGACTTGAAGGGTGTCTCATGTAGTTGTTGCGTCTGAGTCCATGTGCATCCGGATAACAGCTATACAGGATCACTTCAAAAGATTTTACCCTTATTTTTGTATTGAGTTCCAATGCTTTGTTAAGTTGTTTAGTTTTCTTAAAGCACGAGTTAAATAAGAATTTCATGTCATGAATCTTTCTTGTTTTTTTTCTCACATCATGTAGCAACCTTTAAAGATTTGCACTTTTTGTATGTAGTGGATTTTAAATTAGATTTCAATCAAACTTGGCCTTGCTGAGTTTTCTAATTGCAAAATACAATCTTTCAAGTTACAACTCAAACCATTCTCCTTGTTTCATTCTTAATCATTTTTGAATGACAGAATTGTTGGCTACTTGATAGAGAATTCGCATTGAAAATAATGACGTGTTATTTCTTTTTGAAACGCTGCCAAGTTTTCTTGTTAGGAGGTAAAAACATTCTCAATTCAACGGCAACTAGGGGATCACATTGGAGATATTGACTAGCACTTGTTTCTATGGAGATGTGGGAACTTTGTGATTAATAACAATAGGAAAATGGCAGTATGGAGAGTATTGATTGGAAATGTTGTTCATAAGCAAGAAAAGAATCAGGGAAATACAATTAACAGTGAGATTTACTTGTTTCAATTGTGACAGTTTGGTGTGCTATATTGTTGTATTTTCTTTGCCAACACTCCCAAATACAATAAACTATTAACTGAATGATTGTTATAAACATTAAAAAAGAATATGCCATTTATTTGTAAGTCAACTGATCTTAATGTGTCTTGTTGTTCCCTTCAGTTTCTGGCTATGGGTAGAGTTCCTTCGGTTTGGATGTTCGTATTCCACAACCAATCAGGATATTCAAACTAGACTTCTAGTTTAGTATGAGCAATAGATGTTTGTGACATTGACACTTTTTTTAAATTAATGGTTAAGATTTTATCTGCTTATTTACAAATTCACAATTAGATCCAAATAAAAAAAACTTGACCCAATATTTAATATGTTAATTGGTAGACAATTTGAGTGCTCAAACAACATTCTTTAATCCATATTCAGATTGGAAAGAAGCCGTTCTCTTTGAATTATCTGCAAGAGCAATGGATAATTTTTCTTCTCAAACTAGTTTTTTTTCTAACCAACTACCTAATTCAATCAACAATCTTTGATCCTTAAGTAGTTTGTACCTCGCATACTCTAACTTTAACATTTCTACAAACAATTTGAATGAATGGAAATCAGATATTTCTTGGACAATCTTAAGATTGTATTTCGATCTTAAATTTATGAAAAAATTTGTGAAGTTGTGAGGAAAGAAAAAAAAATAAAAATAAGGGTAGTTTTCTTGGGCACTACCAAGTGGGTGAACTAGTTTTCTTTTTTCCAAATATCAAAACTTGGATAAAAGACAGTTTTAATACCTAAAATATGCAATCTTTTTTATGTTAGTCCCTTAAGTTTCAATTTTGTCATTTTGGTCCTTAAAATTGTCAATTTGAATCAATTTGGTCATAGCTCTAACGTTCGTCTATATTGTTAACGGGAACAGTATGACTAAAAGACAGTTTTAGTCCCTAAAGTCATTCCTTATCATTTTAGTCCATTAAGTTTTAATTTTTATCATTCTGATCTTCAAAGTTGTCAATTTGAGTCAATTTTCCAATCATATTATGCCACATGTCTATTTACCTTGAATATATACCCTATTGTATTGTATCACCATACACAACATCTTCCTAGTTTTTTTTAATGACTAAAATACCATTTTTTTCATCTGTTTTATATAACAAAAACAAACAAATGGTTTAAATTAAAAACAAATCAAAATAATATGGTTTAAATTGACAAAATTAAATACTCAAATTTTATTTTGTTAGAATGCTCAAACTTATGATTTTTTTTTAATTGTCCCTATGTTTTTTTTAACTCCAATTATAATTTTTTTGTTGTTGCTACTGTTGTCATAAATGGGAGCATATTAGGATTTTATGTTTAGCTGTTCATGCCAATTTCATATCACCTAGTTGTTTGTACTTAAAAAATTGTAATTAGTGAATGAAACCACTTTTTTTTTTGTTAACTTTATGTGCAACGGTTTCTTATCCCCAAGTTCAATATATTGAGCTTGAGCCAGCCTTGAGCACACAAAATTGGGCTAAAGGTCAGACTAGGGAAAGTTTAGACAACTCTAAGCACAACTTGAGCAACCCCTCAACCCAGTTGAATATGCTTGAGTTGCGCCCCTAGTTAAAATTTCCTAAAATTGCATGCAAAAAAGTTGGCCATACAAATCAATCAATTTTCATTGTAAATGTAACAAGATTTCATTCCCTAGTGTTATATTTTTTCTCCCCTTAAATGTCTGTCTTGAAAATAGACTCTTCACATCTATAACTTAATCTGGAGCTCTGAAGTATTGAAAATTTTGATTATAAAAATAAGTGCATGGGATCATATCTCATTATTTCAACAAAATTAAAATGAAAATTTGTTACACAAGGATGGAAAAGGTTTGTATAAAGTTAATATGTTGAGCCTGAGGGTAGACCTTGTATTGGATGACTTGGAAATCTCTCTCTCTCTCTCTCTCTCTCTCTCAGTATGAGTTTGGCCACCTTGAAAGTTCAACATATGTCCACCTCAAACTACTTATTTCCAGCCACATTCCTTAAGCAATATCCCACCTACCCAGGTTGGTTTTTCTTCCATCTCTCCAACAATTCCAATCTCAAACTGTTGTATTACTTGCTTAGTAATACCAACTCCAACTTTTTCGTGACGAATGACCAACCTTTGCTAGCTTTGGGACCACTATAATTACCAATCTATTTGTTTCGATAAAATCTATTTTGTTACTGAAAATGTTTATTACAAATAAAAAACAAATATTTTTCAACATTTGATTCTGACCCTAAAATTAATGTGCTAGTGATTGTGTGTGTGCTAGTGGTGGCGGCAATGATGGGGCAGAAATTTTGCTTGTAGTGTTGGCGGTAATAGTGGTAGGGTGGTGGAGGTGGAGATCGTCTGTTGTCATTAGTAGGATAGGAGTTTAGTTCAAAAAATATTTTTCACCCAAATAAACTTTTTTTCATGATTAACAGAAAATGTTTTAGTTGATTTTCATTTTCCGTCGTACCAAACGTTGATGGAAGACAAGCTTGTTTGAAGAGTGGATAATTACGATTTACATGGTTGCCTTACTTGACGGGCTGCACCAAAGAAAGACTTACTGTTACTTAACAATGTGTAAAAGAAGAATACAATTTCTTTTATCATTCTCCATCATCAAATACCCAACATATTCATTTTGATATCTTTGATTCCTGTAAGGAGAAATGAGTTGGCTAATATTGCTTCATCAATTTCTGTTGTTTCTCTTGTTTTCTCAAGTTCTTACATGTTCATCATCATGGTCTTCTTCTACTTCTGCATGCCCCATGTACCTTGAGGATTAGAGATTCGCACTACTCCAATTCAAAAAAACATTTGTCATAAGTGGCTTTACCTTTTTACAGCGTAAATCTTATTCTCATCCTAAAATGGAGTTCTGGAATAAGAGTACTGATTGTTGCTCATGTCAGGGGTTCATGTGCGGCTGGATGAATGGTCATGTAATTGGACTTGACCTCAATTGTAGTGAGCTTCAGGGCACCATCCAAACCAAGAGTAGTCTCTTCCACCTTCGTCAGCTCCAGAGGCTCAATCTTGCCTTCGTCAGCTCCAGAGGCTCAATCTTGCCTTCAATCTTGTCAGATTCTCTAGAATATCATCTAAGTTTGGATCATTCATGAATTTGACCAATCTCAACCTCTCAAATTTTTTATTTTCAGGTCAAATTCCTTCAGAAATCTCCTACCTGTCCAAATTGATTTCACTCGATTTTTCTAGTATTCATGAGGGGAGACTTGAACAACACACTTTCAATATGCTCCTTCAGAACCTAATCCAGTTAAGAGAACTACACCTTGATGCATTGGCTATCTCTTCACCTTTACCTCATGCTTTGTTAAATCTATCTTCTTTCACATCTCTCAATCTTGCTTCTTGCCAACTGCATGGGAAATTCCCAGAAAACATTTTCCACCTCCCAAACCTACGAAAGCTCGAGGTATGAGATAATAGGAACCTCACAGGTAAACTTCCAAACTTTAATATAACTAGTTCCTAATTATTGATCTCTCCAGGAAAAGTTTTTCTAGCCAAGTGCCTGATTCAATTAGAATTTTAAAGCCTTGAATAGTGTGTACCTCATTGAGTGCAACTTTTTGGGGTCCATTCCAACTTCTCTTCGGAACCTTAACAAATTACCAATTTCTACTTCTTGTATAATAGTTTTAGCGGTCAAATCCCCTTATCGATTTCAAACCTTGCAAATCTTACTCACTTGTTTCTTTCTAATAACAATTTGAACGGACAAATACCAGATTACATTCGCAACATAAGCCAACTTGCTTTCTTGGACCTTTTTGGAAATCAGCTAATAGGTCCCATTCCTTTGTATGCAATTGGGTTTTCCAGGGTAGCTTACCTTGATTTAAAAAATAACTAACTCAATGGGACAATACCATCTTGGTTATTTACTCTATCTTCACTGGTTTCTATAGAATTGAGAGACAATACATTGCAAGGACAAATTCCAGGATCTGTTTATGAACTCACGAACCTGATGTGAGAATATATATTGTATATTAGGAATTAGGCAATTTCCTTGCTTGTGTATACACCATATATACAATATATATTCTCACACCTGATGCACTTGTCACTTTCATCAAATAACTTAAGTGGTATAGTGGAGCTAGATAAGCTTCTAAAGCCAAAATATCTCTCGGATCTTGACCTTTCACATAATGGTTTCTCATTGAGCATCAACAATAGTGTCAACTCTACCATGCCCAAAATTTGCACTATAGGATTAGGTTCTTGCAACTTAAGCGAATTTCCAAACTTCTTTATAGTACAGGCTGAATTACTTTCTCTAGACCTTTCAAACAACAAAATCGGTGGTGAAGTTTCAAAATGGGTATTGGATGTGGGGAAAAATTCATTGATGGATTTAGATCTTTCTAATAATTTTCTTGCTGGTTTAAGAGAAACTTCCATGGCCAACACTACAATTTATTGGCATGCACTCCAACTTACTCCATGGACCACTACTTATTCCACCTATCACCAGAATAGATTTCTCTATCTCAAGCAACAAATTGGCAGGAGAAATCCTTCCTTTAATTTGCAGTCTAAACTCACTTAAAGTTCCTGATTTGTCTAATAACAATTTCAGTGGCATTATTCCACATTGTTTGGGAAACTTCAGCAATAGTTTCTCAGTGATGAATTTAGGGATGAATAGCTTTCATTGAACCTTTACTGCAGCATTTACAAAAGGTAACATGCTAAGGAATCTTAATTTGAATGGCAACCAGATTGAAGGCCAAGTTCCGCGATCTTTGCTCAATTGTGAACACTTGGAAGTTCTAGATCTTGGAATAAACAAGATAAATGATACATTCCCCCATTGGTTAGGAACTCTTATGGAATTGTAGGTCTGGTCTTGAGATTTAATAGGTTTCATGGTCACATAGACGTCTTTAAGACCAAGTGTGACAACCCTCACCACTGATTAGTGCTAATCTATGATTAAGCATGTTAATTGACTGATTGATTGAGTGTATTAGTTTAAATGCATTTCTATCTGTTGACTGCTAAACTATCTATTCATGTATTATGTTTAAACTGTAAATTGAAAGCCTTATCGGCGACCGAATCCGAAATTGATTAATGTTTTATGCTAGTTGGAATTTATGTGATTTTA